CCCCTCAGGGGTTTCCAAGTTGTTAATCTTCCTGGAAGCACACTGCCCAGACTCTCCCCAGAGCACAACTCGTAGGTCCGATTCACTGACCTTGTAGATAGCAGCTGAGTGCTTTATCTGCTTTGATCCGTTAGGGCACCTTTGGTTTGATCTAAAATATTGAAGTTCTAATCCTTATAAGTGTAATAAAATGTTACCCAGCACCAGTTAAACGTATGGGTCACGACTTAAAGATAACTTGTAACTTGTATTAGTGCTGACCAATGGATTTTCTACTAAGCCACATATGCTTAGAGGAGATAGTATCATTAGGATGAGATGACTAGGCCCTGGAATACCAAAACTCCCAGGTAGCCTCCAGCATGGGGCCCCAGAGAGAGAGAAACACCCAGGACCAAGTCAAGCCATGAACACTGCTCCTCCTACAGGCATGTCCGTACCTCATCCTGCCTTGTGGAGGACCTGGACGTCGTAAGACACGCTGAGGGGAGACAAGGTGCTCTTCTAGAGCCAGACGTAAGGACTAAATACCTGAGCCAGGCCTTCAGCAGGCCTGGGAGGTTGAGATGCCAAAAGGGAGACGCCAGACAGCTCACCACAGTGAAAGCTTGCCTTCCCGGATCATCTGACTGTATTCCCCCACTTCCTTCAGACTTCTGGTAGAGGATATCATTCAGCTAATGTGCTAAACATGAGACACTAGCCAGGTGAAATGGTAATATGGTTTTTCACAACTACAGGAGAGTTGAGATGGAACTTTTTCTTTTTTAACTTAGAAGACCTGAAGTACAATCTAGATGTGCAAATTTGAAAAATAAAAATAAACTCCAGTTCACTGGCTAAAAGAACACTATTAAAGGAAGGGCGTTTACCAGATGATTAACATCCTGTATCATAATAGCAATAGCACTAAAAAAAAAAAAAACCCAAAAAACTGTTCATTTCAGTCAGAATCTCTAGTCTAGTCTAACTCAGTGTTTAGTATATCAATGACAAATCTAAATGTATAACCAAATTGATTTGAGAACTTTGTCTTTATCTCCCAAAGTGAAAGAATTAGCTTGTGGGTTCAACTATTGCTAAGCCATTTAGTTTTCATACGTTGTTGTTCTTCCTCCACAAGTACTTCCACTTTATGTTTAAACAGCTCCACTCCTGTACACAGTGCTCATTACCTCTAAGCCTTGGAAAGGCTGCAGCTAGTTACTGGGCTGGATGGTACAGTCTCAGCAGCTGGCAGTCAGTGCTCATGGACTCACACTGTCCTCAGGAAGCGAATGTTTAAACCATTTCTCTAGAATTGCTTTTTTGCCTTCTCATTTCCATTGTCCCTTTAACAATGGACAGGTTAACAATGGCAACCCTTTGGAGAAGGGCGATGCCCTCCTTTGATACAATACTGATATTTTCAATGACTGTAAAGAAATGTATTTGTGAATTTGAGAGTCATTGCACTACAGCTTTTGAACCCTGGTAACATTGTGGTTATGAGTTAGACTGCTAACTGCAAGGTCAGCAGTTCGAAACCATCAGCCAGCTCCAAAGGAGAAAGACAAGGCTTTCTACTCCCATAAAGAGATACAATCTCAGAAATTCACCGGGCAGTTCTACCTTGTCCTATGAGTCAGAATTGACAAAATGGCAGTGAGTTTGGTTTGGTTTTTGGTGCGATTTCCATAAAGATTTACAACTTCGGAAATCTACAGGGGCGGTTCTACCCATTCCTATGGGATTGCTAAGAGTCAGACTCAACTCATTGGCAGTGAAGTGGTTTTTTGAGTTTGCAATACAGTGCATTTGATAGATACTCTTCTGTGTTGATTTGCAATTTACAGGTTTCATAGCTGTGACCTTAACTTAATTTCTAAATTAGGACAGTGAAGAAGAATATGTGCAGCCTCCCAGGATGAGTGCAGACTTTTTGGAATTGGTGGGATAGTAGAGACCTACAGGCTATCCACCACCACCATCACCTCCTTGTCTCAGCTAACCTTTCAGAGTAGATAATGGAGGTGCACCCTGTCTAGAAGGAGCCGACTCTGTATATCTTTTAGAAAACTGGGAATTTTGTACTCTTTTAATTTCCTCCTAACGTTGTAACAGAAGTACCACAAACAGTTGGTTTGAAAGAACAAGTTTGTTGCCACACTGTTCAGGATGGGTCTTTCTGCCCTCCTTGTCTCTTTCGGCATCTGGAGTCCCAGCATTTTTTGGTTCCTAGTCTATCTGCATGTCGCATTATCTTCCCTAAATTCTGCTTGCTTCCTTATATATATAAATTGCTTCTGTTTTTTTTAAGAATGATTGGGTTCAGGGCATACCCTGTGTTGGTATGGCTTCATTAACATAATAAAGAAAACCAAACCAAACCCCACCCGGACCCCACACCCCACCCATCCCCATTTTCCCAGGTGGGATTCCACACACAGCTGTGGAGTTAAACGATTCCAATGCTTAACGGGAAGAACTGGTGACACACGTTTCAATATTTCAATCCATAGTATACACTATAATGTAATTGTTTCCTTTTTAAATTGTTACAAGTGCCTACAGACAAAAATTGATTAATAATGTCTTCCTAATCTCCAATCAGGATGGAAAACAGATGAACTGTAATTTCATTCCTTTGGATATAAAATTAGACCTTTGGGAAGATTTACCAGCAGACTTTCAGCTGAAACAAAATCGCTCACTGGTAAGAACAGCCACATGCATTTCTTTTACATAAAAATCTGTGTGTTAATTTTAATGGTCATGTTGAGACTGATAAACGCAGAGCGCTTTGTGGCCTGTCGCCGAGTCAAGACACTGGATGCATTTTAATCAATTCAGACAATGCCTATTAATTGCCCTGGTGCTAAGAATAAATGTGAAATCTGTTTCCTTGGCAAATGATCACACCTAGAATTGCTGTTTCTGCGGGGAGAATCATCCTCACATCATTTAATTTCTCATTCCCAGGATTAGCAACTGCAATACTTGTCTCTGACAGATGCACATCGTATCTTTTCAGGTTAAGCTCTAACAGACACACTGTGAGAGCAGGAATAATACCATGTTAGGTGAGTCTGCATTCATTGTCAGAGGCACCACGGGCTGCTCCAGGCCATGTCCACACCAGGAAAGCCTTAATTCCCTTACATTGCTAAGAAGGGTCATTCTGCACAGGGCGTGGCCCCTCGTGCAGAGTGACAATTAGACAAGAAAATTGTGACTGTGATTGTGTCCTCTGAGTGGAAGTGAATCCTGTGGGTCAGCTTCACCTGACTTACCGGGAGAGGTAGAAGTGAGCAGCTTGGCTACCTCTGCTGTTAGCTTCTCCCGACTTGCAGCTCTTAGGAAATAGCCAGTGGGGTGCAGGTGACTGCAAGTGAAATGGGAGCAGTAGCCAGTTGCCATCTTGTGCATTCTGACTCGTGGTGCTCCCCAGGCTCTCAGAGCAGTGCTAGGCTCCAAGAGTTTTCAGTAGCTGCTTGTTTTTGGAAGAAGAGCACCAGGCCTTTCTTTGAAGACACTGCTGACTCGCCTCCAGCGTTACAGGTAGCAGCCAAGCATGCATTGTATTACCCAGGGTGCTACATAAGATATGCTGTGGTTAGTTGACTTTGAATCAATTCTAGCTCATGGGAGCCCCAGGTGTTGCCAAGTAGAGCTTCTTGGCTGTAATTAATAGCCACTGCATGTTTTTCCATTCACTGTGTTGTGGTGGCTTGCGTGTTGCCATGATACTGGAAGCTGTAGCACTAGTATTTCCAATACCAACAGGGTCACCACGGTGGTTAGGTTTTAGCAGGACTCCCAGACTAAGACTAAGTAGGAAGAAGAAGGAAGAGGCAGTCCACTTCTGAAAAAAGAGCCCCTTATTCTATGATGCTCACCTTCCCGACACAACCGCTGATGACAAAGCGGGTGATTAAGCAAATGTGGTGAAGAAAGCTGATGGTGCCCAGCTATCAAAAGATATAGCGTCTGGGGTCTTAAAAGCTTGAAGGTAAACAAG